TATATTTATGTAGCGAAGTTAACATAAATTTAAAATTAATAAACTCGTATTTTCAAATCGTTGAATCGAATAAATAATATGGTTATAACTAGGGTTGGGATTTTAATGTCTTTAAAAATTGCAAAAAATGACCCTAAAAAATGCAAAAATGACTGAAAAAACTCAAAAAATGCATTAAAAAATGCCTTTGAAATTTTACAAAAATTACATAACATGTATATAAATATTTTATTTTACTTCATATATTAAAAAATAAAAAATAATTCTTTATTGTTACAATAAATCATGAGAGCGTGTCTCCTGTTGTTCCCCAATAAGTTTTTGTAGATATACATATTTTTTTCTTATTCTTCAATTTGTTCTCTTTGTTGTACTCCATTAATATGTTTGTCTCTTGATATATATTGTTGTATGGTAAAACGTTTTTCAATAGCAACTTTTACATTGCATACCTTGTACAACAACATTAATCCGTCGGTAGAAAAATCTATAATCTATAATTTTAAATACAAAATCATCAAAAATGACTTAAAAAGCCCTAAAATGCTCTAAAAATGAGAAAAATGACTTTAAAATCAAAAATTGTCATAAAGTACAAAAAAATGCAAAATAAAATTTCTTATTCTAATTTAAAAATACCTAAAATATATTTGTAACAAAACGAACATCATACAGAAAGCTTCAGAAAAAAATGCAAAGTGCATCGAAGTCCCAGCCCTATTTATAACGTATTCACGGTGGCGTTAAGCGATATATTGTATAAGGTCGTTAAAATGAACGATTGGGTTAATATATTTATTCATCCAATCATAGATTCAAGTTAACTACATTTTTATTTAAAATGCAATAATATTGTTACGTTTTTTTCGCCAGTAAATGATGTCGATTTTCCGATCGTTGGATTATAATCGATTTTATTGAAATTTAAAAACGCGTATTATACTACGCTGCCGCAGTGCGGGTATCGTAGGGGCGACAATATTATACACTGATATGGCTGAAACATGAAACGCGTCGTCCACGGAATCTAAACAAAAGATAAACAAAAACAAACCAAAATAAAAGTCTATTGTGTGCTATTTAAAAAAAAAAAAAAAAAAAAACGAAAACATAGTCGATTTTTTCATGTTTTATTTGTACGTCTAAAACGATCCGTAGACGATCCGTGTGTACACATAGTTATTCCGATGGAAACGGTTTCGATCAACATGTATGTGTGTACTGTCCCTGCGGATATACGCAAGAAAATCCCCGTTGCGGACGGTTTATATGCATGCGGAATTTAAATACCAAACAAATCGCGAAACTCTTTTGTACGCACGCGAAACCATTTCGCGAACACGACGTGTAGACAATACCGAATGAACAGTGTTTATTTATTTCATAGAAATAATTTTCCACGCCACTGGAGAGATTCAACCGTATCCAATGAACCGTCGTTCCGCGTGGGGTCGATTTTTTTGGCAAATCGATTTGTAATTCCCAACCGCATGACTTGATAAAGATAACGGTGGTTGACGTATTGACCTATCATTTGAGATAGTTTTCAATTTTTTTTTTTCTAACAATTAGCATAATACACGTGGCGAATACATTATTATATTTTTATATGTCTTTAACAAATCATTTCAATATAGTAATTTAAATATGTTGATCGTATCGGAATGAATTTAAAACGTACGTACACGGTTTATCTATGCATTAATACAATCATATTTAGTTTTATCTGTGTTCTATAAGAAAAATATTTAAATGAATTCATTCGTGAAAACCACTTACCTATATAATAAAATAATAGTTTCTAAAGTTATTATATTACTTTATATTACGGCCTAAATAGGGCGATTCATTAATTTCAGAAATATAAATAATCACATAATCACTTCAGCGATTTCTGATAGTCTCAATAATAATGAGTGTTTAATAATAATTGTAGAAATCATTTTTAAGTCTTTTTACATATAATTTTTTAAATAAAATAAAAAATTAATGTAAATTTAATTAATTTTTTTTTATGTAGGTATGTTATATAAAAATAGGGGCTAAGTTAAAATAAGAGCTCAATTTTATTTTCAGACTCGGCACAATTTGATTTTCCTTAATGCACTATTTTTGCTTGGGTAGGCCCTGCATGCAATTAAAATGTGATGGTGTATTTAAAACGGTTAGTTTTAAAGGATAACTTGGAATTTCCGTCATTATCAAACAGGAAGTTCTAAAACTCAGAGCTGGTTCAGTTTATTATGAATGTTTTCATCAACAGTAGTAAATCAATATTTTTTTACCTGAACATTATGTTGTATTGGAATAAAATTTGTTTTAATTTTATGTTGTTAACGGTTTTGTGTAGTTACGGTTTCATAAGAACGGGAAAATACTGTTTATTTCAAAATTCGAACTCGGTAATCCGTTCGTCTGTTTTCATATTAGACGTGTAGCTTCCGGTATATAAATGCGGTGACGTATGTACAATTAAACAATTGTGTCCAGTGAACACGGCCTTTCGAGGTCAACATACACACACGCGCGAGTGTTTAAAAACACTCATATACGAACTCAATTGACCGTAATTTATACTAATATATGTACAAATGTTTTAATGTAATTCACAATTGTATATCCCTGTACGTCCGGGTGTTATTCTACTTGTGATCCAGTTGCAACATCATGGACAACGCGCCCGCTCCGTTTCGTATAGGTTCTAGCGAATCCTCAGGAAACGAGTCCAACAACAGTTTTTCTTATTCGGGTGATTTCAACGATGAGCCGGCCGAGTACGACCCGCAGGTAAACTTGTGCATATTTAGGACAGTTTACGAGTTAGCATATTTTATCTTCGAACAGTCATCGGATACTACTTGCATCTCAGATCGATAATAGTTGATAAGTCGTATCCAAATATTTTGGTTTTTTGTTGTACTTTTCGAAATGTATGGAATCCCAATTTAAATCCATTATTTATCACATATTTGGACAAGTAACACTTATATCATGTTTTACACTTATATTCTGTAAATTAGAATTTCTAAAGAAATATATATCAATATAAATAATATATATATATATATATAAATAAAAAATAAAAATAAAAAGATTAAATAAAAATAGCTTTACATTATAGAATAAAATAGACCATATGAAATGAAATTCAAACGTTGGTGTGGTTACAAAAATTCATATCACGTACAGTCTAGTATAATCTTTGTCTGGAACATTACATATGTCTGAGGTAAAGTTTGCAAAATCCTTTAGATTTTTATAACCATTTATAAATGGTTATTAATTTATAAAATATATATGGTCCTGTATTATTTATTAAGGGAAATATGTACAGACGATTCGTGTGTTGTTTGTTATGTACAGTATTATTGTCTATTATTCACTTTAATTGGTTAGATTCGAAATAATCAAATTATATTTTTAAGGAATTGTTGTTTGGGACGCAACTAACCTAACGAGTTATATTATAAATTTTTATCAACAATTGATTTTGAAACGCAATTAACATGCAGACTATAACACGATAAATCAACGAAACGACGTAAACATTCTATTTGGTGTGAAAAATCGAAAATTATCTTTCCTGCGAACGTTTTCAAACGTTGTGCTGAGACAAAGACATGAATATATTACTTAATTAGTTATTGGGTTTGAAATTATATTTATGATATTGCGAGATCTTAATGAAATAGTTGTTTACGACTTAATTATACGATTACAGTCTCGAGTAATAATAATAAAAGCCGTTATCGTGGTTACACTTGTAGATTAGTGAGTACACTACGTTTAATACGTTCGTGTTGGCTCAAAAAATAATAATGAATAAAAAAATTAAAACAGTGCCTTTATAAAACATAAAATATTCATATGGTTTTATGTTTAACAATTATTGTTATGATATACACAATGTGAGTGTTGGTTTTAATAATACAACAAGTAACGAGCAAAGCGTATGTTGGAGAATAAAAAAGAATAAATTTTTATTCGCATTTTAAAAAAATAAGATTGGGGTTGATTCTAACTTTGATAACGTCAAAACTCCATAAACATTGTTATTACTCTTATCGACAAATCGTTAGCAATATAATGTCGTCAATGATGGGAAAATAAAACTTTTCTAATGGCAGTTGTCTTAGCTACCATCATACAAACATGGAACAAAAAACGTGTATAAAAATAGTATTGTTTAAAATGTATCATTAAAGCGATGAAAACCGACCACAATTTTGAATATACTATGCTACGTACTATTGTTATTAATTTATCTCTCAAAAGGAAGAAATAAGCCAGGTTAACTTTTCATTGAGAGTAGGCTCTCTTGTAACAGCTGTACACTTATTATTAAATCCACTTATTATTCGTCTACACAGGCAAGTTCTGACAATGAAAACATAAATGTGTAAAGAAAAAGAGAAATAAGCAAACCAATCAAACATTTTCGTATAATATACATTGTTATACCTACGTGTTTTATTAAAATTTCAAAAATGCAATATTATTTGTAAACATTTTACAATTAGAAAGTGTTGCAATGGAATCAAAAATGAAGTGTTTGATAATGTATGGTCTAAATATAATTTGAAAATATGCTAAAGCTGTTTTCGGATTTATTTTTTGTATGACACTCACCAATTCCTGAACAACACGTTTATTTTTATATTTTTTTATGATAACTAATGAATAACACATTAATTAAAACTCGTGCACAATACAGTTCACAAACGCAAGCTCGAAGCGCCCTAGTACGACTGACGAACCGCCAATTAACAAAGTTTTATCGATTTCCATTATAATATTTTATCAGTTCGCCGCAAAAATTAAATGCATTTGCTTCAAGGCACTAATATTGTTATGAATAAACATAAAACATATTATGTGGTGAAAAAATATAACGTTAAACCACACAAATTATTTAAAGTAAAAACTAATAATAATAAACTAATAATAAAAAACTAATAAACTAATAACCAAGTAAAAAAAAAGATGGTTATTTTTTTCAGCTCACTCCAGAAAGAGTTAGACTCAATGGATATGATTCCAGTGAAACTTTCAGCGACATATTGGAGGACGTGCCTATCAATCATCGTATGCATCATGGGACTCAGCTAAGATCCGTGTAAGTGAATATATACTAGTCAATGTATTGCATTATATTAATGAAACGATCAACTGGAACTGAAGTTCAATATATACTCGAATTACGTATGTACCTACTGAGATTTATATGAATAAATTATTTTTATATTTATACATGAAAAAAATATTTCGTCGGATGTTAATTAATTGTTTTTTTTGAAAATCGGATATGTATTTTTACCAAGTAATAAATAAACGCACGAAGGTGTTAGGTTTTATGAAAAGTTATTATAACCGTAGAATGCCGGTATTACGCAAAGTTGAAAGATAATGGTAGTACAAACGAACAGTAGACGAACAACATTGAGGGGTAAGTAATATAAAAAATGAACAGTATTGATTAAAATACAATTGGCCAAAAAAACTTTATTACCATAAAAGCGGATGACATTCAATAACTACATGAACTACAACAAAATTACAAAGTGAACAATGGTGACAACGGTTACAACTATTGTACGGACGGATACGTCTTGAACTCGGTAGCGAAGGCGCGAGCATCTCATCACATACTCACGAATCTAAGACGTAACTATTTTAAATTTGTAATTTTTTTATTGTTCACGTAATTTTTTAGTAACCCCCCCCCCCCCCCCCATATAAGTAATTAAGTTGCACTCACCACTTTATTTAATTCTATATAGTTAATTTTTCATTATCTACAGTTCATGTACATAGGTACGTCATTCATAGTAACATTAAAAAAAAAAAATTAATTTAAAATATGAGGTCGGGCTAAATTAATTGCCTCAGCTCCACCCGTAAAAAATACGACTTTTCAGAAAAATTAAAAAATAGAAAAGCAGGAATTATGAACGTATGGGGAAGAATAAGCAGGAATTAAGAAGCACTAATTATTGGCTTAAAAAAATTGCAAAATTAAAAATGGGGGTGCAACTAGAGCAACGTGCGTGGATCTTTTTGCGTGCAATAACATTCAAAAACAAACCGTCAACCATTTAAAAATGATTTAAATGTTTTAAATCGTCATATCTAAATGTATTAAAATTACAGTTTGGTTATATTTTGTCTATACCTATAGATTTATGTATAAATATATATTTAAATATTATATATATATATTTATCTATATATTTAGTCTAGACACATTTGAACCTACTAATATCAACGCGAATTACAATATAAAGCGATGTAATAGCGTTATGCAAGATCCGACTGTTGGTGGTGTGAAATCATAACGAATGCTTTAAGAGCCAATAAACTTCACCGTTTTAGCATGCAACAAAATGCTTGTTTCGTTTGTTTTCAGCGCGAATACATTTGCTCATAGGATCAAAACAATGACAACTTATCAAGTGCGCTTTAACTCGATGAAAGTACCGAGTTTAACGAAATGTTCAAAGTTAATCCAATTAAAGTTAAACGAATATGAGTGTTTGTGAACGAAAAAATATGATGTAAAATATGCATTAAACTTACGTTTAAGATATAAATCGACAAGCTCTATGGTTTTATTAATTTATTCGTGTTAATGTAAACAATTTCATACTTAGGATAAAATTAGTAAGAATACGAATGTTTTACACCAGGCCACAACCTATTTGAATCAAACCTACTAAGGTTTGGAGGAAAAATAAAAAAATAAATCGATATGATTTTAATTATAAATTGCATAAGAATCACTTTAAAGCAAATTCGCCCCCTCTTCGCTACCAAAACAATAATATTGCTTTAACTACTCAAGAAAAAATATATTTTTTTGCTAAAAATTTTGCTTACGCATTTGAACCTAATAACATTTATCCCAACAATTATCAACATTTTCAAGTTAATCAGTTTATCTCGCTATCTTTACATACATCTTATACTACTCCGGGAGAAATTCTTTTAGTTGTTAAAAAACTTAATAATAATAATTCACCCGGCCACGATCTTTTAAATAAAAAAAAAACAGTAAGAAATATGCCACCAAAAACGATAATTATTTTTACCTACATCTTCATTGTTATTTTTTGTAATTCCTAACAATTTGGAAGTCATGTGTTCTTATCAGGGACCGAAACCTTGATGAATTGTACTGTTCCAGTTCCAGTTCGGTTCCTAGAAAAAAAAAATCGATTCCGGTTTTGATGACGATTCTAAAATAACTAAAATTTGGGTTTCGGTTATTAAAATAACAAACATTTAGGTCTCGGTTTCTTTTCAGTTCTTAAAAAATGAAAAATTAGTTTCAAGTTTTGTATTATAATAATGTGAGAAAAATTTGGTTCTGTTTCGATTCTTTTAAAAATATTCCTAGTGTTAATTAGCGTCAGTTATAGAGGTTATACCAATTTTCAACCAGATATCCAACCATCACTTAGAACTAATTAAGTAAAAATGTATCACCGTGACGACTACCCTGTTTCAAATATCGTTTTATGTTTTTTTTTATAATTTAACATTGATTTGTGAATTACCACTTGTTATATCATTATTCAGTATTTAAATTTTTAAAATATAAATAACTATATATTTTTAAGGTTAGAGACTGTTGTGGTACTTTCTGTTTGAAATATATCTATAAACCTTCTTATATACAGAAACTGATAAAACGGTCGCGAGTAAATGATTCATCAACTAAAAAGTAGGTTGATGTTTACAATAACTACTGAAGAAGCAAAGTATTTTAAAACTTAATTAATATTTCTTTTACTTGGTTGTTCACTCTATTGATGTGATTTTTAATACTGTATACTATCGTAAAATTATAATAAAAAATTAAATAAATAATGTTCTAAAGCTGGAAAAATGTAATCGATTAACATTTAACATACACATCATTATGTCTAATTATCTTGAGTTTATGGGAAAAATAATAAAAGTCACTACTTATTTGATTCGAACAATCATAATTTAATTACTGATCATTTTCCGTCTTAAGTAAAAATAGCCAGACAATATAGTTAAATGGTGAATATTTTATCAAAAACTCTCAGCAACATCCGCATAAATTCAGATCGGATTTCAACCACAGAAACAAAAAAAAAAAACCGAAAAACTTTCAAATTTTATTTGACCTTATAGATAAATACCCATTATAACAATTTATTTTTGTATCATTATACTATTGGCGACTTTAAATTGCCTAATGGAGTTTTCTTGTTTTTATTTATATTTTGTCGTACTGATAAGTATACGATATATATATATATATATATATATATATAATTTCTCATAATAGTAAACGTATAAAATAATAAAAGAAAACATTGGTTGGCCTAGTTTTTTGTACTTTACATTGACACAAAGTAGTAGCGCTATTGCTATACAAACTAAGTATAAATCAGAAGTATGTTTTTCTTTTTCTTTCTACATTTATGACTCATAAATGAACCATACGTTGTAACAGTGTAGCTTTTCTCTTTAGACATCTGTGGCTTTTTTTCCATACTACATAACCAATATCTATATATTTCCACTTAACTTTGTATTAAAAACTTTTTTTATTAAAATTATCAAAATTTCGCGAGTAATCACAGTATATTTCTAATAGTGTTTCCAGCGTGTGAACAGTAACCGTTATAGCTTGCATAATATACGATGGATCGATGTGCGATTTTGCGACATAAGTAAATGCAATTCTAATCCGATTTTCAATAAATATTTTTATTGTTAATTAAATAAATATTAACATAGCGAAAATAAGTACAAAAATATCAATATGTACGGTAGAAAAATGTTTGTATAGTAATATTATGCAAGTGTAAAAATGTCATACATATTATATTATAGCAGATAAATAATAAATATAAAAAAGGGTAAGATTCCACGGTCGGGAGTGATACAGGGAATGGATGAACGGTATTGCTGTGTTGGTTTTTTAAATTTCAAACCAATGTACCGTTGCTCTGGAAAAAACGATTCAGAATGTAAGATATTGTGTGGATCAGATTATATTTTTAAAGATGTTTGATATAAAGAAAAAACAAATTTCTTAATAAAGTATGTAATCCCTTAATACTCTCTAACTTCCACGAAAAAAAAATTGGAAAAACCGAAAATATTATGTACTCGTCAACAGCCCAAATTTCATTAAAATAATTCGAAACTATGAAATGTCTTTAATTAAACAATTAATACTGTTTAATGAAAATCCGTCAAAGTATCATTTTTTAACACTAATAAATAATTTTTGTAACCTTAAAATTTTTTTTTTTTTTTTTTGATGCATAGAAAGTTATATGAAAAATCTTTCGTCAAATTTTCAAGCTTTAAATATAACAGTTAAAAATTTTGTTGAATTTTATATACAAAAAAATACCGGATTTTTATGTATATTGCCATCAAAATAAACGTTCGTTAGATTTTTCATTTGAAGCAGAATTTTTTTTTTTTTTAAAAGTTATATATATATACATGAAAACCCTTATATTCAATGTTCAAGACTTTCTGTAGAACCAAAATTATTTTACTGACATTTTTAAAAAATATCAATAAAACAGAAACATTTCTATAAATATGTCAAAAAAATTTTTTTCAAAATTATTTCATCCATAGAAAATGATTATATAGGTACACATTTAATATAAATATCATATTTTTATGATTATTATTTTTTGAATTACGATAAAAACAAAAATTTGATCTAAATCAAAACCGGTATGCCACAAATTTTGGTACATTTTTATTATTTGTTTTACACAATTATTAAGATAACTGTTGGTAAATTTGTAAAAATAATTTTCTTCAAAGTACTAACCGGGCAACATTTCTTATCAAAAGTCTCTTATAATTGTGATGATTGGAGCAATACTCTAGGCTTAAATCGTTTACATAATATAAAATAAATATATAACAGTGCCTGATAAAATAATATGTGATATTATTGGTAAGGGTTTGAATTTCATATGTTTTTATCAATTATTCTAAAAATCATTGAGAAATTCTAATAATTAAATCTTCGAAAGTATCAACTAAAACCCATATTCGATCTTTTACTTTTTATTTGGTGATGATTGAGATACTTTCACGTACACA